GGCAGCCACGGCCTTGGAGACTTACCTGAGAGGGAGAGCCTCGTGCAACTTCCCATCAAAAGGATGAGCAACAGATCACGGGGGAGTCAGATTACTGCCAAGGGAAAACAGCGCAGATCTCTCTCTCTCTCTCTCTCTCTCTCTCTCTCTCTCTCTCTCTCTCTCTCTCCACATGTTATAGTGGTAGATTGGTTCGATTTTGGTCATCGTCTCTCCCTCTCTTTCACACGGTTCGATTTTGGTCATCCTTTCTCCCTCTCTTTCACACACACACACACACACACACACACACACACACACACACACACATGCATACACACACACGCACACACACGCACACACACACATATGTGTAGAAGTGAAGGTTGTTTCGATGGAGGTTGAAGTACTCTCTCAGAGTCTCTCTCTCTCTCTCTCTCTCTCTCTCTCTCTCTCTCTCTCTCTCTCTCTCTGTGTGTGTGTATGTCTCACACACACACAGACACATACACACACACACAGACAGACACACCCACACCCACACACCCACACACCCACACACACCCACACACACCCACCCACACACACACACGTGTAGCAGTGAATATTTCCGGAAGGTCCGCCACGATCCCACACAGCCACACATAAAGACACACACACACACACACATGTATAGCAGTGAATATTTCAACGTTGCAGCGAAATATTTCATCGATTTCGGTCATCTTTTCGATGGAGGTTGCGCACGGTCAGCCACGATCGAAGTACTCTCTCTCTCTCTCTCTCTCTCTCTCTCTCTCTCTCTCTCTCTCTCTCTCTCTCTCTCGCGCGCGCGCGCGCACGCGTGCAAAGGCACAAGCGGCCGCACATGACAGACTGCTCACCCACGCAGCTCACGAATGCATGCGCAGATGCAATGTCGGACGTACCACCGCTACCCGCCAATCCGCTCCCTATAAAGGCCTGCGACACGACCTGCACACCCGCAAGCAGACCCTGAATTGCGAGACGAGCCGCACACCAGCAAGCAGACCCGGACTCGCGCGTACAGAAGCGTCGGCGATGCTCATCGCGACCCGACAAACAGGACCCGGCCAACCGACATCCCCCCCTTCGGTAGGCCGCGCGGAGACCTCCGCGCACAATTTTTCCTCTGGCCCCGCTGGCGCCCACGACCCGACAAACAGGACCCCGCCAACCGACACCCCCCCTCAGGTAGGCCGCGCGGAGACCTCGGCACACAATTTTTAACCGACACCCCCTCCGCACACGATTTTTCCTCGGCCTGCTACGACACTCCCCAACCGCCGCGCCCTCCTAGGTCCCCTGCGGCACCGCGCGCTGACCTTCCTGCCCGAATTTCGCTGGGCCCAGCGGGAGCGTCACGCGTGGACCGCTTTTTGCTTTAAGGTATACAAGTGGACCCGCCGCAGCGACGCTGCGGCAGCGGGGGGGAGGACCTTTGGGCCCATCCTTTAGAGGATTAGAGAAGAGAAGAGAAGGCCATCACACATCCTGACCCGTCTACCATATCCCCATAGACTATCTGCCTACCCTGGCCATCCAATGATTCCAATCCTCTCTCTCTCTCTCTCTCTCTCTCTCTCTCTCTCTCTCTCTCTCTCTCTCTCTCTCTCTCTCTCTCGTTTATCTCTCTCTCCCTCTCGCTCTTTTCCATTTATCTCTCTCCCGATCGGAAGGGAGCAAATGATAATCGATGGTGTCATCACTGACACTATTGAATCCATGCACTCGATTCACATCATGATGGATGGATGACAACGGTTGATGGCGTTATTCGTCATACCATCGATTTTTTTTGGATGGGGTTAATGATCAATTCAACGTGTTCTCTTCTTTTTTTTTTTTAAATCCTAAAATGTTAAAGCCTTTCGTAAGTAACTTCAGGTAACCTAACGGTCGCCCACATACTTGCTCCATCGGCGTGCACATATGGAAGTAGCCAGCCCCCTTGAACATCTCTCATAATATGTTCCAGAAACCTGTCTAGGTTCAAATTCATTTTTGGATTAATTTCTTTGATGTGAATTAGACTTTGACTTTGGCTTTGAATTTGACTTTGACTTTGACTGTCCTATGGATTGCTTAGAGGTCTTGCGGGCATGCCACGCCGCATTCCGGATTCTCCAGACGCATATGCCGGATGGAATGCACAGAGTAGTTTTGGGCCTTTTGGCTGCAATCTTTCTGTCCTAGGAATTGTAGTTTTTTTTTGTGGTTGTGTATCTCACTTCAACCAGTGAAGTGCGCGCACTGCAAGCGCATTGGATTTATAGACGCTAACGCGCCTGAGTGTAACCGCAACCTGACGGTTGCCTCATGTGTTCGAATCAATTGAGCAAAAGTCCCCGCAGGTGGAACGAATGTGGCACCTTGGCCTGGATTCCATTCAATGTTATGAACAAAAGTACCCACTCGTATACATGCTCCAGGGTTCCCAAAGCTTGCTTAGCAAAGTGACAAACACCATTTTGAAAAACGATGACGTTCGCCTGAACCTGTGACGACAGTGGTGAGGCGGCTGAGGCCTGTTCCCTTGCAGCACAGTCTAGAG